GAGGAGAGGGTTGAAGCCTTTGATCCGAACCTAAATTGGCTATTCCATGAAGATGAGGTATCGTTTTCTTCTTGTATGCACACTGTGAGGACTGAGGGTGAGGAAGTCTTTGATTCTGGGAAAAAGGTATGTGACTCTTTTGACAAAGATAACATGAACTCTTCACTTCCTAATCATCTTCAGTGCATTCAATCTGAGTCAGTTTCTGGGGGAGAGTCACTCTTGGGTCCGTTTTTCTCACATCCTAGCAGAGTGGTTTCTACCAAGAATGACAATTTGCCTTAGTTAGCTGCTAGTAGGTCCTTTACGAGTCATAGTTTGAAACCACATGCAATTAACAAGGAAAGTCATAGGGATGATCTTCTGATGGAAGTGTCTACTAATCATAGGCTTGAGAGGAACGATGTTCTTGGGAATGACAATGATGAATCTAAAAAGTGGTTGAGGAAAATGATTATGTGTCTTTCCCCTTGGAGAAGGGAGATGTGCCTCACTTTACACAATTACTTGACACTCTTGGTTTGTCACTAGTTAGGAAGAATATGAAGAAGTCTAGGTCTAGGAGTGTGGGGTTTGCATCTAAGGGCGGTAGTAGTCATAGAAGCTTGGGGCAGAGAAAAGGGATGAAGGAATTAAGAAACCTTGAAAGTGGCATTAATTATGAGGGGCTGGTGAAAAAGACAATGGGTGATGTTGGTTCTCGATGAAGATTTTGAGTTGGAATGTTAGAGGACTACGGTTTTGTAGGAAAAAGATGGTAATTAAAGAGGTTTTGAAAACTAGATAGAGTGATGTTTCAAGAGACAAAGTGAGGAATGTGATAGAGGTTTCATTAGGAGTGTTTGGGGGACTAGGTTTAGGAGATGAGCTGCTTTACCTTCTAGTGGGAGATCGGGGGGAATTTTGATTATATGGGATGAGAGAGTTATATCGGAGTGTGAGATAGTTGTTGGGGTGTTTTCATTGTCCATTAGGTTTAGGAATCAGGATAACAAGGAATGGTGGTTGACGGGGGTTTATGGTCCCAATGGGCCTAGTAGTCGTCAGGAATGGTGGGAGGAGTTGGCGGGATTATTTGGGCTTTGTTTCCCTAATTGGTGTGTGAGCAGAGATTTCAACGTGGTTCGGCTTATTTCGGAAAAACTCAAAAAAAGGTCTTGACAAATTAAAAACGCTTTAATTCAAGCCTCGTGCATTGAGTCCCCCATTTTTTAGATTCCCACAAACTTCATCCAACTTTCTTGGTTTTAGAAACCATTGGCCGTTGTTCTAGAAATCATTTGACTAGGGTGGCCTAGGATTGCTACCTAAGGTTGAAATTACATTATTAGCATTACTCTGTGACCAACCTCCGCTATTTCCATCTCTCCCCTCCTCCGCCTCCTCCCTTTCCATTTTCTTCCAAAACCATCCCTTCCGGTACTTTCTCGCTCTCTTCCTCATCTTTTTACTTTTACCTATATATCTGAACAGGTGCTTGCTTTGTTGATTGAGACTGATCTGAATATCTGAATACTTACACATATTATTCTTCTTTTTAGGGCAATAATTTATGTATTTATGAAATTGAATGTGCAATTCTTTTGAGCGCTTCACCTGTTTGATTATATGTCTTGTTGACCTATTGGTGTACTCTAATCTAATGTCCACTGTTCCTATTTTTTGTTTTCTTTTATTTTTCTATTTAAGTGGAATTACCGCCTTTCTCATCCATCACCCAAACATTCCATTAGCTTCGGTTTTTTTTTTAAAATGTTTTGCATCTAATTCATTTATTTCTAGTCTTTTATATTTGTATTTTTTATCCTATTTTACTTTTTTGTATGCTTGTAAATTTAGGAAGATGCCTCAGTGAAAGGAAAGAATTTAAGTAAAAGAATAATAAAAAAATTAGAATCACTTTGGATCACTATTGCATAGGGTGAATGGAGATAAATAAAAAATAAAATTACTTGCCTTCTTCACAAATCTTTGCAATTGTGGCCCTTTGACCGGAAATTGTTTCCCTTGATTGGTTTGATTTATGTAAACCCAGTGGTTTAACCATCTTCTCTTTCATGTATGATTTCTTGTCCTGTGGAACATAAGGTGTAAATCCGTAGAACATTGTTGAGGATACAAATAATAAAGTTTCTCCTCTCTTTGATAGCTTAAGCTTTTAGATGAGTTGGTGGTTAACAATTGAATATGGTATCAAAGCAAGCAATAGATCCTGTGTTCAAACCTCACCACCTACCCGATAATTAAAAAATATTTGCACGTGTTTGGCCACTTACAAAGAAGAGCCTGGCCACGTGAGGGGGCGTGTTGAGGATATAAACAATAAAGTTGTCCCTCTCTCTAATAGCTTAAGCTTTTAGATGAGTTGGTGATCAACAATTCAATAAACATGGATGACATATCCCGTGAACGCGAAACATAGAACCACTTACCTCAAAGTCATCATGATTTTCAGGCACAAGCATCTTTGATTTAAGAAGCTCAGTTTCAAAAGCTTTCCTTTGTTTTTCCTCAATTAGAAGGCTCTGCCGCACAACATTAAGCTCTTCCTTCAATGTTGCCTTAATAATTCCAAATTTACAGTGAAGAAAAAGGAAGTCTTGTTAGTACAATATCAGCATTTCAGCTAGGCTAAAAACTCATGCCATAGAAGAGTGTCTAAATGAGAATACTTAAAAGTACATTTATTTCAACTTTACACATGGAAATACTATTTGTCAACCATACCTTGTCTGTCAATTGAACTTTATATTTTGCTTTCAAAGAGTCTAGTTCATTCACAGTCTTCTTATGCAGCTGATGACTTTCTTGTAGTTTCAGCCTAAATTCATCAATCACCTTTTGCCCCTGAATCTGGAATTAAGAAAAAGAAGAAAAATATCAGCGAATAGTAACCAATGATAACAATAGCAGTAATAATTATTAACAAAAAAAGTTGTTAGGTATTATGATTATTATTATTATTTAAAAGCAACAAGTTTTGGTTATCATATTTATTGAATAATTCATCTGTTGAAATATTTATCCTTCCTCTTCTCCCTAAATCACAGTCCAAAAATATGGTAATTAGTAGGGGAGCTTAATGACCAGGCACAAGTGGACTCATGTAGCATTACCTTTTTATGGCATTTAGGGAAGATATTGGCGAATAGCACTCATAGGTTGTGTTGTATAATATAGATCCATATATTGAACTTGTTATTTTTATTATTTTATTTTTTATTAGGAATAAAACAAATATAAAAATCATGGACCAAAAATTGAATCATAAATCAGTTGATTTACCTTATGGGGTCCTACTAACAACTGCCCAATGGGTGTTCATTAAGAATCACAAATTGCCAAAAAAAAAGTTACATTTTTATATTTTTTTAATACATTTTTCACATATTTTAATACACCTGACTTGGTTTGAGTTTTGATGATCTCTTAATTGCATCTTCGTCATATCCAATTCTTCTTCTACACCTTTAAAACGGGCATGCCCATCATCTAGTTCTTGCTTTAAGTCTGCTATTTTTTTCTCATACATTTGAGTGGTGTCTGAAAGAGCCTTCTGATATGTAGAGTTTTCCTTTTGATATTGCTGGTGGGAGAGAGAGAGAGAGAGAGAGAGAGAGAGAGAGAGAGAAACAAAAACAACAGAACTAAAGTCTCTTGTTAGCTGAAACTAGGATTCTAGGAGCATTAAAAATTTGAACTGCGTTTAAAATTTTACCATTGACTTGGCTTAAAATCTATTGTGAAGAGATTTGACGTGTTAAAATGCATATAAACAATTCTTGCTATAAATTTTGATTTGGAGCGTTAAAGTACCAAGAAATTACTGCTTTAATCTTTCTACAAGATTAAAAAGACCAATGAGGACTCATTATAAATTGATTATTGGAATTAGAGGTCTAAGAGGAACATTGTCCTTTCCATATTTAATGAGATGGTTAACCTGCATTGACTTTTGATGATCACTTAGCAACTTCTTCATCACATCTAACTGTTCTTCAGCACTTTCAGAGTGAGCCTGCTGCTCCTCTAATTGCTTCATCAACTCTGTTATCTTCTTCTCATACATCTGGGTGGTATCTGCAAGTACTTTTTGCTACGTAGAACTGTCAAGCTGGTATTGCTACTAGCAGACAAACCAGCACAGTTAGTGTTTGTGCACATGTAGACCCAAATAATAGTAACCAAAAAAAACTGTTTTCTAAACTGTAAAGCCAAAACTTTAGATCTAAGGAACAAATACAATTTAAGACTAGGAAACAATAAGAAAACCTGCACATAGCAAAGGTCTTGATTACCATATAGATGAAATTGATCATAAGTTTACTTTTCTTCTAGTAATTTAACTGGGCAGTAAGAGAGAACTGTATAAAAAGGATTTGAAACACCTAACCACCGAAGTGTACTCAAATTGGGAGTGTGGGGCTAGTTCATAGTTTACCAGAAGACTAGAATATACAAAGAATTAAAAGGGGAGGAAAAAAGAAGAAAAGAAAAACAAGAAACTGTGTGTTTCATATACCTTGCTGTGTTTTAGACTCATTTCTAAGCGTTCGACTTCATCATGCATAAAATTATTATGATCTTTTAGACGCTTCAGTTCATCTAATATACCCATCATCTTTATTTCCAGACAACCATTCGCTTTTGCTAGAAACTGCAAACAAGTGCAACATATTTAGAGAAAGTAAGTTGAAAAATAAACAAAGAATGCTGGTGAACAGAACATATTGCCATACGTACATGCACGCATACACGCACGCGCGAGCACACACACACACACACCTAAAAAGGACAAAACTAGAGCACCAATAGCTACAAATAAAATGAATAAGCTAGAAGTTGGAAAGTGTGAACTGAAACACAGCCATAATATCATCAAATCCGAACTCTAAAACATATACCAGCAGGAGAGACAACTACCTCAGACCTTGTAACTAAACTCTTTTCAGCTTCAACAAATGATTTTTGATACTCTCTGAGGTTTTTTTCCATTTCAACTCTGTCATTGTCCCTCAACTTTTGTTGTCCATCAATCTCCACCGTTGGATGCTCCACCTGATTCTCCAGCCTCCGACAAAAACTTTCATAATCAAATTTTTCCTTAAGCTTTAAAGCCTTTACAATTTTCATGGCCTGCAAAAGCAATAAACATTAAGCTGCCGCGATTAAGACAACTATTCTACAAAGTTGTTCAAAAGAAAAATATCCATAACAAACATTTAAAACTACATTCTTAGTTTTTTTTTTGGATAAGCAAGTCATATTATAACAAAAAAAAGAAAGATATACAATGAAGTTCAATACACATCTTTTGTAGGGAGAATAAACATAAACAAAAACAAACTATTCCCTCAAAAGAAACAAACTAAGCCTATAGATGACAAACACAACATACACAACAAAGGATTCAAAATTTCCCTCTAGCACTCTTCAAGTAATGAAGTTTCGCTTTGAGTTTTCTTCTGTTATCCTCCTTTGTAGCCTCTCCATTAATGGGATCACTTGGAGATGGGCTCCCTCTACTTTTTGGGTTTTTCGTTTGACACAACAACTCTTGATTTAATTCTCCATTCCTCAACTCTCCCATATCACATGATTCAAGGACATCAAAAGCATTAGATGTTGATGGGGTGAAATGTTGCGTCTCTCCCTCTTTGTTTATCATTGTCGTTGAACCTTGCCCATCATCTCGCCCTTTTTTCTTCACCACTTCCTACTTAGTTGGAACTTGTATGTTAGTCTCCTTGACTCTCCACTCTTGTTTGGAAGATGGAGGGTTCAAAGTCTTTGGCTTCTAAGGGCACAAATTAGTGGTATGACCAAAAGTCTTACAAACATCACACCTTTGAGGCTTCCATGGAACCTCACCTTGAATCTCATATGGGTCACCATAACCAAGATTTATTTTGAAAGACTTAGGGATCTCTTTATTTGCTGGCACTTCAACACATATTCTCGCAAACGTAAGTCTGCTTCTTTTGAACGTAAGCTCATCCAAATAAAGAGGAGTTCCCATGATGCTAGCAATGTAACCCAAACCTTCTTCAGTCCAAAGCTCCAAAGGAACATTATACAATTTCACCCACAACGGCACACTTGAAAATTCACACTTTGTTAGTTTTTGTCCAGGTTGCCATTTTTTAACAACAATCAATCTGGCCCCAACGTAATAGGGGCCATCTTTCAAAATTTTGTCTATAGTCTCTTCACTTTTTACTTTAAAAATAAAAAACCCATTATCAATGGAGACAACATCTTCAAGCAAATTTTCTCAAAGTTTTTCCGCCCAAGTTTTCACATAATGGAAAGAGAATCTTTTATCAATGAAGTATCCAAGCAAGGCATTTTCCCAATGAGAAAAGCCTTTTTTTGAGATCTCTGTAGGGACATTGTACATGCCATCTACTAGGTTCTCAATCTTATGGGCACCTATTTTATGCTTTATTTTTGACACCTTGTTAATCTCTTCTTTAAGCAAAGAGCTTCAAGCTTGTAGAGGCTTACCTGATATAGCAGTTGTACCACCATCAAGGCATTCACCCTTGCCAGATTGTGTGTCTTCCATATGTAGTTCAACTAAATCTTCTTTTCTACAAGCTCGCACATTTTCAACACTCTTCTGTTGCTTGGTGCCAATTACTTCTCTCCTTTGATCAACAATGGGTGAGCCAAGTTTATTTGTCATTATCATTTCATTTGCCGGCAGTGGGGAAACAATGGCCAATTTTGGCCATTGCTCAAGATCAGTTAGCACTCTAGTTGGTGTGTTCCATGCATTAGGTGTTTGATGCTGCTTTGATGATTGCTCAGTTGAGGCTTGCATTTCCACATTCAATTGCAACCGTGGTGTACCAAGATTTCCACACAAACATAAATCGACACTCGATTGAGCTATCCTCCGATTCCACATCCCTTAAACCCCTTTTGTTTTCATTCGAGGGCCCTTGCCATGGTCCCACAAAATCTCCAGCTATGAGAAATTTGGGGGCTCCTCGGATGTGTGTAGATTTGCGGGGGAGTACAGTAGGCATCTCATCGGTAGATATTTGAGCATCCACTTGATTATCAAACTCCTGCAAGGAGACCTTGGTTGATTTGCACTTAGCAGATTTACATTTTGATTTACTCTTTGCTAATTTGCTCTTAGCTAGTTTGTCCTTTTTCATTGATAGCTTGTTGCCCTCTCTGTCTCTCTCTTAGCTAGTTTGCCCTTCTTCATTTTAAGTTCTTTATGATTTGATTGTAGATGTCATACATTTGAAAGACTATTTGCCATTGCATCACCAACCAATGGACCCTTTTAGCCATAAAACATAGATGAGGAGAAAAAAAGAAAAGAGGCTGCTTGATGCAGCTCAATTGATATGGAACCCATGAAAAGATGATACATTGATGACTAAAGTAGTTAGTCTTGTTAGGATTCTTTCAATTAATGTTGCTGTTTTCTTATTTCTTTAAGGACATTTTAATAGCTTTAGTGATAGGGTTTGAATCTTATTAGGTATCAGCATCAATGTTAGGTAGGATTGATTCGAAAATGTTTTAATGAGTTTTTAGGCTTGTCTACAGCTGATAAATAGGCTCTATTGCTGTAGAATGAACTCTGGCCTCCAAAATTGAATTTATTCTGGCCTCCACAATGAGTAAGCTTCAATCAAAGTTGCAAAGAAACCTTGGTTTCAAGGGAAAAAACCTGTTTCCTCCTATCTTCTTTTAGAAATTAAGAAGGAATTTTCTTAACTTTTATCAGAATGATTAAGGAAGGTTTTGGGAATTTTGAAAATCTAGTAGAAAACTTTCAGAAGTTATTTGGAAACGCAGAAGAAACTTATGAGGAACGCATTTCCTTATGTTTCTAGTTTTTATGCTTCCAACACCTTTTCTCAATAGTAAAAAATAATTCTTAGTTATTCCTTACAGTTCACAATTTACATTATTTACAGTGTTTCATATCAATTTTGTCAGACTTTGGAAGTTTTTCTATGCCATTTAGTATCAAATTTCAGTTAGCTTCCTATTTCCCATGATTTGTTACTAAATTTTTTTGCTTCCATTTCTCTTCTAGTTTTCCATTCCACTTCCCACTCTAGAAAGGTTTCCTCTTGTTTAAGTCCATTGTTAAGTATCTTAAGTTGCCTGGTTCTCTAATCTATTTCCTAAATAGCAACTCAAATGAAGTTTCTTGACTGCAAAACAGGATAATCATTAACAACCTTGGCAATGCAATGCATATTTCCCTTCCAAACACACTTTCCTCTCCAAAGAGAATTAGACCAATAATGGCACAGCAGATGACATCGTCCTCTGTCCACTCTCAAAATTAGCAACACCAGACAGTCAGTGGCAACATACACATGTAGCGCTGGATTGAGAGGTCAAATAAATAGAAAACATGTGAATGTCAAATAGATGGAAACAGCAAGAAACCTGGAGGATGTAAAGTTTTATGTTAAAAACAAATAATACCAAACATTAAGTTGTAAGTATCACACTATTTGAAAGCTCAAAATCAAGAGAATGTCAACGAGCAAAGAGAGTGAGTGAAAATGGCAATGATGAGGTTGTTGTACCGCTCGATCTGCTTCAGATCTCTCTGTTCCTCTTCCGCCGCCGTCAACCACCGTCAACACCTCCCACAAGGCCTCCGCTATTTCCATCCCTCCCCTCCTCCTCCTCTTTTCCATTTTCTTCCAAAACCATCCCTTCCGGTACTTTCTCGCTCTTTTCCTCATCTTTTTGCTTTTACCTATATATCTGAACAGGTGCTTTGTTGATTGAGACTGATCTGAATGCTTGCACATATTATTCTTCTTTTTAGGGCAATAATTTATGTATTTATGAAATTGAATGTGCAATTCTTTTGAGCGCTTCACCTGTTTGATTATATGTCTTGTTGACCTATTGGTGTACTCTAATCTAATGTCCACTGTTCCTATTTTTTGTTTTCTTTTATTTTTCTATTTAGGTGGAATTACCTCCTTTCTTATCCAGCACCCAAACATTCCATTAGCTTGCGGTTTTTTTTTTAATATTTTTTTAATGTTTTTCATTTAATTCATTTATTTCTAGTCTTTTATATTTGTATTTTTTCATCCTATTTTACATTTTTATATGCTTGCGAATTTAGGAAGATGCCTCAGTGAAAGGAAAAAATTTAAGAAAAAGAATAATAATAAAAAAATAGAATCACTTTGGATCACTAACTAAAGTTTTCATTTTTTGAAAAGTATTCTGGATTTCAAAACGCGTGTTCCATAGTGTGATACACCCTAGTATTAACATTTTATGGTAGCACCGGTTCCATGGTTGAAGCTGAGAGGATAAGTAATGAGAGACAGTTCCTTGATAAACCAAATAACATCTTATTATTGGTTCATGTGCATTCCTATGCTGCCTCACTGCTAGTTTCTGTACATCTTTGCTTATATGTTATTTTCATATTCAGCTACCCTTTTCTGAATTATGGTCTCATATTGTGACATACAGATTGCCTACCTCCTTTCACAATGGCCATTGGAAGTATACGCTTTTTTAGTGAAGATGTGACCCACTTTCCTGACATAAAAGACCCTGAATTTCTATTTGTTTTTAAGGACTTAATGGCTGCGAGTTGGGATGAGCTTCCAGATACACTCATCAGTGATGCAAATAAGGCTTTGTCTAAAAATACAGAGGACAAGGCCGCCCAAGAAGCTGTGGCAAATGTTTTCCGTGCAGCTGAGGCAGTTGAGGAGTTTAGTGGGATGCTCGTGTCTTTGAGGATGGCAATTGATGATAGCATTGGATTGGGTGGCGAGGTGACATAAATTATGTGGGAAAAATGACTTTTTTTTTTTGTTGTCTCTCAAGTTCTTGTGGTCTAATGATTTAAAATTTTGCTACTTATTGTAGGATGTAAAACCCTTGCCGGAGGAATTTGTGAACGCATTGCGTACAGTCTATCAAAGATATACTGCATATTTGGATGCTTTTGGGCCAGACGAGACCTATTTGCGTAAGAAAGTTGAGACTGAGCTTGGAACGAAAATGATACACTTAAAGATGAGGTGCAGTGGTATTGGTTCTGAGTGGGGAAAGGTATTGTAGTTTTTGCATTGCTTTCTTGTCACTATGTTTATTTAGAGCACTCCAGTCCAGTCATACCACAATATGTAAGTTTTATGAGAGCCTATTTTGCTTGGTGTGTGAGATTTAAGGTGCTACATATTGTGGGCACCTAACCAATTACAATAGTTCTTTTGAAACAGACATGAAAGCACACTAAAGTAATCATCAAATTGTGTTTACAATCAGCTTGTCTTTTAACTTACGTGATATGTACATAATTGCACGTATGCAATAGTGTATAGTGTTAGTTTGGGCAAGTTTAGATGAAGATTAATCTTTTCAGGAAACTCAGATCATTTGTTCTGTGGGAAAACCCCTTCCTTAAATTGTTTTGTGTTGTCTTAAAAAACTTTACATACTGAAATAAGTTAGTAGCCTTGAGTTGCTCCGTTTTTTTGGCTGTACATGAAATTGGTCTAGATGAAAGGGTAGCTTTGCCCAACGGTAAGGCTTACCATTAGCGTCTTTGATGCTATGGATTCTAGTCACAGAACAGTCTCTCCAAATATGGGGCAAGGTTGTGTACATCTTGCCCTTTCGAGATCCCGCTTTAGCAGGAACCTTGTGTACTGGGCTACCCTTTTTATGAAATTGGTCTAGATCCTTAAATGCAGGTATGGTGTGACAATGTCTTGACCACTAATTACACCAAATGAATATCAGCTGTCATGAATTTTATGACACATGCCCGTAACCATTCTTTTGTGCAATATTGTGAAGAATATAAAGTTTGTTTGTTTAATTATTGAATCAGTTTCTGTTTTGATTGCAGATTACAGTTCTGGGGACTTCTGGACTTTCAGGTTCCTATGTTGAGCACAGAGCTTAGTTTCTTGGAGATGGTTAAAAGCATCATGTGTTCATGTTGTCTTTTCTCTTGGGGAACTTTATTCATGTTTATTCCTCTTTCAGACATTTTACTGGTGTCATTAATCTTTAAATAAATCCAGTTTGATCTCATGTGTTCTGCCTCTTCTTTTCTTTATTTATTTTTTAATGAAGTTTGGTGAAACTAATAATTACAACTTAATGTTGCACATAACATCAGAAAGCTCATGTAAGGAAATTGGTTTCCTTTGGGTTAGCAATGTTTGTTTGCCATTAGTTTGTCCTATCATTTTGAGCCATTGTTGAGTATAATTTGTATTTAATAGTGTTTGATTACCTTATATAGGAAGATTATAACATCATCTAAAGTAGATTTATATTATATGATGCTGATGAAGGATGGTGCAATTAAGGAAAACCGTATGCAAACAAGAAAATTTTCACTAAAAAATGTCCATCCAGAGTGATAAGGCTTGATTTTTTTTAATTAAAAAATAAAAAATAAAATTCTCTATTTGCATATCCGGAGATATCCGAGTGAATCCACTTTTAATCCTAGAAAGATAAAAATACAAAATAAAAAATAAACCTGCACAATGAGATTAAAGATTGAGAATGAGTAAGCCTATGAATTCATAGACACGAGGGAAATCATTTAATAGAAAATAAATTCAAATGCCATGGTGGTTCACAGTGAGATCATGTCAATTTAGGGAAGAAAAATGGAGTAACATAACTAAAAGTAGTTGATGTTAACCAACATTTCCTTGGTAGGGATGTGGGAAAGAGCCCTACTTTATTTGCATGACAAAAAAAAAAAAAAGAAAAAGAAAAAGAAAAAAAAAGAAACAATGGTAAAACTCACTTTGCAAAGTTGCAGAAGAAATGATCCTACAAAGGAATCTTTTTCCTTCACAAATCAAGATCTAAACAAAGCCTTATGTTACGAAAGAAAGGAAATATAAACCACAAAAAACCTGTTCCATAAATTTAAAAAAGATGATCAACTATTCGATCATGTGAAATATAAACCAGCAAGCACACTGTTTTTTCAAGTGTGCATGACTGTTTTTTCAAGTGTGCATGTCTATAGAATTCTCACCAATCTAAAGCTCCTTGCACCAGAGCTCTGAAGCATTCAGCAGCTATCAATTGTTAAAAAATTACATTATTATTGTTATAACTGATTGCTATTTATTAAGTTTAAGAGAATTGAACATCCTTCCAAAGATGTGTATGCAATAGCCATAAGGAGTCAATAATCACCTAGCTGGCTATTAAAAAAAAAGAAGAATTTTCTTATCAAAAAGGCAAGCTGGGGAAATTCCCCGAAATTTTGAGGTGAAATGATCCAGCTCCTCAAACATTCAATCCAACATGTGCATGACGTGGAACAGAGTGAAAGTGAATATAAACCACGAGATCAATTTGTTGAATCATTAGACAATAATTTTAATGGAAGATAGTTGTACTTACTAATTGTGTTTCCCATCATGGAACTGAGCATTTTTTGATGACTTGAAAGTTTTCAAAAATTCTGTAGCCTTTTGTACTTTTTGCTTCTGCCTTGACTTGTTCCAATTGTGTTCAGCAGCCAGTATCTGAATTATGCGGGATAATGCCCGGCCTGCTGCATCAGTGTCAAGAAAAGCAAGCCGAGATCTCCTAGCGATGACATCTACTGCAGATTCACAGTACTCATGCCTAGCACAGTATGCCACCTCAGCTTCTAGAAAGGGGTATCCATGGGCAAGTCGCTTCCCCAAATGTTCATTCTAGAAACAAATAAATATAGGGCATGTTTGATTGGAAGGATTAAAGCATGGGATTAGGATTATTAATCCGTGGGCCCAATCATCCTATGTTTGTTTTGACATTTTGGTTTAGGACTATTAATCCAATGGATAATTAATCCAACAAATTTGTAGGATTATTAGTAATGGGGTAGGGGTGGGATAGTTAATACCACACTAATCAAAAGCAGAATGGCTAATTAATAAGTTAATACTGTAACTACGCAGGATGTTAGACAATTGATAACTAGAGTTGAGAAAAACAAACTTCAGTCATATAGTGCAGAAGAAAAAGCTTGAACTTACCCTAAAACAAGAGTTGTCATGCTATCAATGACAAGCAACTTCACTTGGTGCTGGAGGAGTGAAACCTTGGTTTGCTGCAAGTTGGTGAAAAAGAAAACAACATATAATATTCAAAATTAATTGCAATAGTCTCTCAGTTGATAAGTCTAGAAAGAGTAAGAACAATGGGCTGCTGGGGTTGGTTGACTTTAGATTGAGCTTGAACTTGAGCAGGGCTTAATCTGAGAAAACAATTTCCTGTTCAAGTTTCATTTGCTAAGGTTTGGCCAAACTCAATCCTGTTCATGAGCCTAATCAAGCTTGTCAAGTTTGTTCATTTACCTATTCTGTCAAGTTTGTTCATTTACCTATTCATTCTAATTTCCATATCGAAAGATATTCAACTTCAATTGCAATTACAAGATACTCCAAGAGCTTATCCATATTTTTGTCATATCTAAAACGCAAGGTACTTTTTCCTTTTTGTCACAGTTACCAAAGCCATATAAGTGTAGCGCCAACTTTTCATGAGGCCTCAAGTAAATCCCAATTTCAATAGAGTTAGTTTGTGGAGCAATCTTGCCCAAAACCTAAGCTTGAGCTTGGTTGTGAATGGGCTTCTTAACAAGCCCAGTATGAGATGCTTATGTCAACATTACTTTCTTTATAAAACCCTGTCTGAACTTAAATTCAAGAGGAAAGTTTGATAAAGCCTCTAGGAGGTCATACCAGATAGTTCAAATATTCATATGTTAACCATCTAACAAACTGGGTTATCTAGACAACCCTCAAATCGAACCATACCACCCTTAAGAGGGTCTTGTCATAGACTCATAATCTTTGTGGTTCATGAGTGAAACATCTCAGTTGGCTCTGACATTGTCACCAATTACTACCCCAAGTTCTCAAAATGTCTCATTTATATCTTATTATATTCACTCTAGGTTAAGTACAAGAAATCTGACTCTAGGTTATGTCAAACATTTGTTGGTAGGACTCAGCTTACCAGACTTGATAGCCGTATCAACTACATCTTCTGCCATGCTTACTCATGTAAAGGAAACAGAAGTTTCATTAGAATAGACTGACAGGAAAAAGTTGCTTCACACTTGTAATATTGATTTCACTATAAATTAAGGTAACATAACATGCTGTTATATCTGCTACAAATAAGCCATAAAGAAGGGGCATAGAACTAGAAGTGCTAGCACAATGAGTATTTAACTAAATTCAGGGACATGATTGTACAAAAGCATCAAAAAGAAGATGCCAGTGCATACAAGTTTCAGTTTCCAAAAACTGATACAAATTCAACAACTTATAGGGAAACCCAGATCAACCATTATAAAATGTACCTTCTACATGTAGTCCACTTTCCACCAGTAATTGTGACAAAACCAGGGTAATCTTCGCATACAACATGATCCCTGGAAATGCTCTCAGTGTTGCCAATGGGTGAATACCACTCCAAGCAGAAAGAACATCTACATGCCGTACCTAAATTGTCCTGGTATATTTTTAGTAGCCACTTAAAACTGAATAATTAAACAAAATAGATGACACCTAGGTTGAGTCACATCCATATAAATGGACCAGAAGAAAACTAAAGTTTCCCTAAGAAAACAAAATTGAAGTAAGAAACTAATGAATTTGTGATGATGTCTTGATGTGTTCATGAAAAATATTTAAACATCAACCATTATTGCTTCTTAACAGCATGATTGTATTGGCAAATATCCACCAATACAAAAGATGCAGAGAGTCGGACAATGCTCAGAAGGCTACACAGGCCAACACATACTTGCATACTTCACACATCCTTAGCTATGCTTCAATATTTTCTTTTGGTTAATGTAGGTGAAAAATATCTCAAATGCATACCAATTACATACAAATTGAACAGATTGAAGGAGGACATGTCTTAAGCTAAATCTGCACAGAAATGGCTGGCATTTGTTTAATATGTGAGTGCAACATGTTTCCAAAGACTAGGGAGCCTTAGCCATATAAAATGGTGAGGGAGATGCTTATAGAATCTATCAACTTTCATCACTAGGAGATATTTAAGTGTTGAAAGGGTTCAAACTGCAAAAAAGCTACTATAAGATCCTCTACATAGTAACATTTCAGCATCAACAGTGGATATTGAGGTTTCAATGGGCATTTCATTTGATAAAAAAATTGAGATGCATATCTTAAGCATTCCAGTCAATAAGCTACATTATGCTATGGGATCAAAAGACACCGCCATGGAGTTTGCATTAAAAATAAGAGATAGGTAGCAACATTTAAAGCTGGGCCTATAGTCCAAATGGTAAGGACTGCACAGCATAATCTTGACGCAGAAATTTGAGGCTCTCATCAAAGAAAATGATATCAGACAGATAGCAAAAGTTGAACTTCAACCAACAAAAAGGAAGAAACTTTTTAGTCTTCAGTCCAACTCCATTTAGAATACGATAACACAGAGACAACCAGATAATAGGGTATATCTTCGGGCTTTATTTACATAATTCCACCAAGATTTACTGAGATGACCAGAACTTCTTTTATTTTTTATTAAGAACAAACTTCACCAAAAATCCCATAAAAAATAACTTTACAAAAACAAATATTTGGAAAATTAGCATTCCATGCAAGATATAGATGAGACAAAATGAAAAAAATGCACAAACCTTAACATTAAGGTAATCACAGATGGCATCCAGTATAAATTCAATCTCATCCTCATTTGGTTCTGGAAGCATTGTAATGGTGGTGCTGGAATCCGTAGTGCCAGGCATCGTTCTTCACAACCATGGCAGCATGAAGACAACAAGTCCATCTTTTGTTTTGGGAATGATTAAACCCACTCCCTCAGGAGAATAGTAATCAGGTAGCACGATATGTACACCACTGCTTGGACAGATCATAGGTTTTGCATCATTGTCAGCCATTTTCCTCACAGAATCACAGAATGGCCCAGCCGCATTCACAATAACTTTTGCATATGTATCAAACTCTTTACCTGCACAATTTACCGAGCAATAAGGATCATAGAAAATCGAATTAATCATATTGATTACCCTATTTAAACCAAAATTCTAAGCATTGAAACCATGAACACAAAAGCAAGAACAACCAATGAGGGAGAGAACCATTAAATAAACAAGCAAAAATCATTTGTGTGTAGAAGGGGATATTTTTTTCTTTTAATTTTCTCCAAATAAGTTAAAACTCAAACACTCTTGCCACTTCCAAAACAATGTTGAATAACAATATGCAAAGAGCATAATCACCACGTGTGAAGAACACCAAACGCACATATAGAAGCTGTTAATGATTTTCTTTAATTAATCCAGATATGTAGTTGGTACCCCTAAGTCTTGACATATGTACTAAAATAGGATAAACAAAAAAATTAATAATTAAACTTGCATGTTGCTACATCCATAGGGCAGGGTTAAATGTGATTGAGTGAAACATACTTGGAAATCATGAAGCAGAATGGTGACAAAATATCATAATGGTGCAAATCTCGAGGCTTGAAACATTATTGTATTTCACAGTGGTAAAAAGAATGAGACAAAGTTTAGAAGTTTAAATCTTCATGTTGACAATAATATGCCAAAACATAGTACTTATCATACCTGTCAGATTGTCTTGAATATGAGCACCGATTATCCTGTCGCTACCTTCATCTTTTAGAAAGGATATGACTTCAGCATGGTTAAGCACAGCTGCACCTGCTAATGCAGCAGTGCATGCTAGCCCAACATTAACTCTCGAGTCATTCATTTGTCCATCATAATAAACCACTGTGCCTTCAAGGTTCTATCTTTGCCCTTCCTTGCAAGAGTGGGGAACAGTTCAACAGACTCTTGTGCAGAATAATATCTGGACAGGTGCAGGAGGCGTGATCCTGTGACCAGATCATACAGTTTCAAGCCCATCCAGAAGTACACTGCCTCAAACCAGTCAAAACACGGTGTCATGCATGGCAAAGCATTACATAAGTGTGGAGCATTCTCAATAACCTGTTTACGCTCCTTGAGAGCACGGAATACCAGCTTCAATTGTCCATAGTCTAAATTAAAGACTGCTTTATCCAAGTACTGAACTCCTAAAAATGTCGTTTAAATGAGTACTAACAATAAAAGAAGAATTTGACAATATTAAAGAATGTTAACAAACAACAGCAAAATAAATACAAGAACGATACGAATAAAAACTTCCTGAGTAATAAAGAATTATTAGCAGAAGATGAACAACTTTCACTACATTCATAATTTATTTTGTTATAGATAAAAGCAATCTATTAGAGTGCAAAAGAGAAAGAAATCAATGTTAGTTTTGACACTTCAAAATAAAGCAGTTCCAAGAACAACTGTCAACCATAATGTCTGGATAATCCACATATACAAAGTGTAATGTCTGATGCCAGATGCTATGACACCATAACGATGCTTGTTTTTCCCCTTTGTACCTAAATCATGAAAACCCCATAAGCTGGCCTGTTATAGAAGGAAGGCTCCAACTCATGAACCCAGCCTTCTTGAGACAGTCCTCGACCACGTTCATGACGTAGGTGGTTGGTGGAATATTCACATGAAGATTGTCAATTGAGTCATTAGAATTTGATTAAAAGTCTTTCAAAATATATTGCTTTATTTTCTTCCTTTTAAATGTCCTTAGGTTTTAAGGGACAAAAGCTTGAGGCTTGAGTT